TCTCATTTTAATTTATGAACGAGGATTTATATTCGGAAAATTCTACAGTGGCTGTCTGCTCTTGAAATTCTTCGATACGGTAGCTCCCTGTCCTGTTTTTATTTATTATTTCCTCTTTTGTGCTTAACGTACACCAGAGGTGTTTGTAAGGTTATTTTTTGTTAGTTAGTTTTTGTTTTTTTAAGAACCTTTAGGAATCTTTTCATTCTAACGATAAAGTGTATTAATTTCGATGAATGCGTACTTAAAACGAAAATCATTCAAAAAAGCTTTCAATAAGTCAGCTTTGAATAAAGTACGTTTTTCATTACGTTTCATTTCTTAATGAAGGGAAGTGTTTTTTCCTCTTTTATTTTGTTGATTTTCTTTTTTCTTTAACGGTTCACAATTTATTCGAGGTTGAAATATTAAATCTTGTAGGCACGTTTGAAAATTCCGAATAATTGTATCGCTTTGAGTAGGTACGATATATGAACATACGGCTAAAACCAAGCTTTTGCAGTGTCTGGAATACGACCGATGGCTCCATACCTACTTTGAGCAAGGCGATCACTGCAATCCTATTTTCTTTAACACCCCATTCCATATTGTAATTTGATAATGAACACGATAAAAAAATGTGAAATTTCGCAAAACCGAAAGAAGTTTTTAAAATAATATACGTGTTCCAAATTCAAATTCAAAATAATTAAAAAGTTGAAAAAAGAAAGGTTTTTATGTAGAGTCTGTGCGGAAAGAGAATGGGATTTAGATTTGAGGACGCAGTAGTGCTCTTCTACCGTATTTGTAAGGTTTTACCCCTTTCAGACATGATTAAATACAAAAAACCGCAAGAAATCACTACAACAAACAAATCCGTATCAATACAAAACTTGGACGTTAGACAGATGGCTGGGTTGGATTGCTGTATAAAAATCTTAATGTTAAAATCTAAAGAAAATATAACTACAAAAAATTCCACGCGGACCAGGCAGCAGACGGGACTCGAACCCGCACCCTTCGCAATCCGGGCGAATGCACTGACCAATTATGCTACCGGGCCCTCACGGACCGCGTTGAAATTCATCTAGCCATTCTTAAGCTGCAAGGCAGCGCCATCTCTTCGCATTATAGGTAACCCACAATTAAATGCTTTAAAAAATAAAAATTATAATCTTAATGTTAGTTCCGTTTTTCGCCACGCCCATTCTCTTTCCGCACAGACTCTAACAGTATTTATGGCCAGACTAAATAAATATTAGTGATGCGTGTACTGCTATGCCTTATCACCGCCTAATATTAGGTTATTTAAGAAAAGAAGTTTCACTTCAGATGCACACTATTTTTGTTTCCAGTTAAATTCTTAAATACTAACAATATCTTTTAACTGGTTATAACTTCATCATCATCATCATCAGCCTCTTTTATGTCCTGACTGCTGTGCCAGGCGTTCCCTATAGATGGAATAGGGAGATTGGGCCATGACCCACCACGCGGGCCCAGTGCGGATTGGCGGGTTCTAACGATTGCAGATGCAACCGGGACCAACGGCTTAACGTGCCTTCCGAAGCACAGAGGAATTCGAGATAGAAATTTTTGGTCACCCATCCAATGACCGACCACTGCGAAAGTTGCTTAACTACAACGATCGCAGCCGAACGCGCTAACCACCTGCGCCATCGCGCTCCTCGGTTATAACTTCAGTGATTAAATATTCAGTTAATCAATAAGCATATTCAAAAGGAAGTCAGCGGTCAAAGTAAGTGTACGAGTTTTATGTCGAAATTAACATATTCATTAACTCCAATGTACTCAGATTGGCATTAACCGTTGTCCCTTGGGGCAAGATATGTTCGGAAAGTCATAAATTCGATGATCGAGAATAAGTAATTAAAAATTTAAAACGATGTCGTACGTCGATGTTCGACGTCGATTGTGGACAATTATGGAAGCGAAGACTACCTTCGAGATGTTAAACCTTTTAAAATATTGTACAGCTTTGACGGTAATTGAACTTATTAAGTATGCATTGAAATATGGATGTCGTATTTCATTTGTCATCAGAGTAAATTGAGTCCATAGATGGAACAGTCGGATGTCATAAAATGCTACGAGGAGCTCGATGGCGCAAGTGGTTAGCGCGTTCGGCTGCGATCGTTGAAGTTAAGCAACTTTCGCAGTGGTCGGTCATTGGATGGGTGACCAAAAATTTACTATCTCGAGCTCCTCCGTGCTTCGGAAGGCACTTTAAGCAGTTGGTCCCGGCTGCATCAGCAGTCGTTAGCACCCACCAATCCGCACTGTTCCCGCGTGGTGGTTCATGGCCCAATCTCTCTATTTCATCCATAGGGAAGGCCTGTGCCCCAGCAGTGGGGACATTAATAGGCTGATAATGAAATATGCATTGAAATATGGATGCCGTATTTCATTTATCATCAGAGTAAATTGAGTCTAACGATGGAACAGTCGGATGTTATAATATGCTACAGACTCAAATTTGAATGATTCTTTAAAAAAAGTACATCATCAAAGAAGCCAATAGAAGAATTCAGTTGGGCTGGGCAGCATTTCGTAAGCTTCGTCAAGTCTTCTCGTCACCCATCCCTCAATGTCTCAAGTCGACAGTCTTCGACCAGTGCGTCCTCCCAGTTATGGCGTACGGCGCCGAGACGTGGACACTCACGGCTGGACTGGTCCACCAGTTTAAAGTCGCTCAGAGAGCTATGGAATGGGCTAAGCTCGGAGTATCCCTGAAGGACCGCATCAGAAATGATGTAATCCGACAGAGAACCAGAGTCACTGTCATAGCCCACCGAATTAGCAAACTGAAGTGGCAGTGGGCTGGTCACATTAGCCGCAGAACTGATGGCCGATGGAGCCGCAAAGTTATTGAATGGAGACCGCGACTCGGTAAACGTAGTGTGGGACGCCATGAGACTAGATGGGATGATGACATTCGTAGGCTGGCTGGAGTGGGCTGGATGATAGTGGCAGACAATCGGGAGCAGTGGCGTGCATTAGGGGAGACCTATGACCAGCAGTGGACGAGCATGGGTCGCTGATGATGATGAGGCCTTAGGTTTACTTGCAGTAATGTTGCTAAATTTTGATATATCTAAAACTATGGATTCAGTACATACAAGAATGTCAAATTGACATTGACGTTTAGTCATTTTTGTATAAGTTAAAGTGGGCAGTAGGCCGCGTTGTCTTCGACAGTAAAATTTGACTGTGTATTTAGCTACGAATTTTTTCTTGTAAAATCTTCTTTCAATTGAAACATCTATAGCAGTTAAATGCTATGCTTAAAATTGTGTGTGCTTATGACCACACGACTGACGTGAAACTTCTTTAGCTTCATCTGTTTGTATATATATCATCATTATCAGCCCACTGCTGGGGCACAGGCCTTCCCTATGGATGGAATAGAGAGATTGGGCCATGACCCACCGCGCGGGCCCAGTGCGGATTGGTGGGTGCTAACGACTGCAGATGCAGCCGGGACCAACGGCTTAACGTGCCTTCCGAAGCACGGAGGAGCTCGAGATAGTAAATTTTTGGTCACCCATCCAATGACCGACCACTGCGAAAGTTGCTTAGCTTCAACGATCGCAGCCGAACGCGCTAACCACTTGCCCCATCAAGCTCCTCTGTATATACCTATGTATATAGACATATATATATATGTATATATATATATATGTCTATATACATATAATATAATCTTTATTACTCTCACATACACAATTAAAGGGCTTACAAAACTGATAGTAAACTATGGTGGGTAAAAGCGGTCTTATCGCTGACAGCGATTTCTTCCAGACAGGTTGTCTAAGTCGAAATATAGTTTATCAGAGATAAAAGAGTAATGTGCCAGTAAATTATAAAATAAAATAAAATATATATTTCATTTACTAGCTATAAAAGAAAGAGAGAAAGAACATGTGCGCGCGCACTGCTTTCACTTGCTTATATCCCCCACTCAACTCCCGTTCGTCTCGCCCGAACACATTTTTCGTAACTCGTAACCCAACTTACCCCCCAAGTCAAGCGTGCCTAAAGAAGTTTCACTTCAAATAATATAATCAAACATTTATGTTAATTACTCGAGTCGAAATAATAAATCAACATTTATGCGTGAGTCTCAGTTAATAGCATTTTGCCGTCTTAAGGTTCTGGGAATAGTGAACTTTCTCAGGAATAGGTAGGTGGTTTTAAGATCGCAGTCATTGCGTTTGGAGTAACTGCCCTATTCCGAGAATATATTAATTGCCTCCGCGTACTATATAATAATTCATCAGGATTAATTTTAACATGACATGTTCGACACTTGTCTGTCTAGCAAATTTATTTTAAATTACCACTGATTTAAATATTTTCTATAACAAAGGCTTAAGGCATTGAGTCACTGGCTAAATACAAACATGTATTTGTTCTACCGATAGTAGTAGTACCGTGTCCTAGGAGGAGCTTCATAGCGCGGGTGGTTAGCACGTTCGGCTGCAATCGTTGAAGTTAAGCAACTTTCGCAGTGGTCAGTCATTGGATGGGTGACCGAAAATCTTCTACCTAGAGGCACGCTAAGCCGTTGGTCCCGGCTGCATCTACAGTCGTTAGCACCCGCCAATCCGCACTGTGCCCGCCTGGTGGGTCTCCCAATCTCCCTATTCCATCCATACGGAAGGCCTGTGCCCCAGCAGTGGGGACATTAATAGCTGATGATGATGATGATTTGTTTTACCCGTCCTTAAATGAGTTTACTTATTTTTTATTACCAAGTACCACCATTGTAACCTTCTAGCGTATTCCGGCTCCAACATCATTATCAGCTCAAAAATATCGTGACATTGCATGGTCAGAACTTTTTATTTTATTATCAGCATGTTTACTATTGTCTCATACTGTTTCAAAATCAAAACGTTACACAAGCAATGAACAATAGAGACTATATATCTATACATAAGGACATCGACATAGTTCTATAATTTCTCTGCAACTATTGATGTTTACAAAATACTCACAAGCATACTCTATGAAGACGGATTGGCTCCGTATTCGCCCTTTGCTATTCCACGCGTAGCATTCACACCCGAAAGTCCCTCCGAAATACTCGTCCACCTCATTTCTGGTGACATTCAACTCCGCTTCCACCACCCTGACTCCATTATGAGGGTCTACGTGCTCCAACTGAACTGTTTTTTCAACTCTGAAACCGTTACATTTGAAGAAAACCTGAAGAGCATTTGCAGCACGGCAGAGTAAAGTTGCTGGCTTCGTCCTTAGCACATAAGCGTTTTTTGGCTCTAGTAGGAATATCGGTAGACCGTCAATTGTTTCGTCGTTTTCTGGCAATGGTATGTAGTCATCATCTTCCACCACGGGTTTGAAGTCAGCCAAGTACGGATCGAAGTCGGATAGACCATCTGGGTGGATGTATTCTGGGCGCAATTCCTTTTCCGTCGAGTGTTCTGGGTCTGGAAAGAACGAAAGAGTTTTATTTTAATTTAAAAAAAGTTTTACTAGTAAAAATCCACGCGGACCAGGCAGCGGACGGGACGCTGCCTGGCCCGCGTGGTTTTTTTCCTAGTAAAACTTTTCTTTAGATTTAAACATCTAGCAATTAAATGCTTAAAAAAAACATAACTTTAAATGCTATTTCTTCTTTCAAATGTTTAATACTTGAAAAAGTATTCATTTGACATTGTGGGTTACCTACAATGCGAAGAGATGGCGCTGCCTTGCAGCTTAAGGCTAGGAAAATTTCGACGCGGCCATCAGGGACGTGGTAGCATAATTGGTCAGTGCATTCGCCCGGATTGCGAAGGGTGCGGTTTCGTGTCCCGTCCACTGCCTGGTCCGCGTAGATCTTTTTCTAGTAAAACTTTTCTTTAGATTTAAACATCTAGCAGTTAAATGCTTTAAAAAAATAAATAAAAACATAACTTATTTTAATTTAGTTTCGAAGTGGTTGATTTGCGACGCTTTGGACAAGCTGATGTTTTAGTAAATAGTTAAAAAAAATCTTTATAAAATGACACATTTTGAATATCCATGCTAATGTTATAAAAACGGAAGAAATTTTGTTTGTCAAATTATTAGTTTCTATCGTTCAATTTCTTTTCGTCAATTCGATTCCTTCAATTTGATTGAAAGTCTGTTCAGACGGTTCAAATTGCATGCGATTTAGAAGTTACTCAACTACAATCGACTCATGTGAACCCACGTTCACATGGCCAAACCACCAAACCGATTTTAATGTATTACTGTTTGAAATTAAAGAGGGTGATACAGGGAATAAAAGTTTGCATAGGAAACATTAAAGTCCAATTTCATTGTACGTCAATGATGGGGAAACATAATATATAATTACACGCAGATGAAGTTGCGGGCAGTGTTTGTGTAATTGAAATAAGAAACAATTTGGATTCGGAGCAACATAGGAAATATTATTTAAGATTTGCGGACCAAGGATTGTGGCCCGACATTTTTGAGGCCCAAAACACGGTATATTATGAGGCTTCGCTCTAAATAGCATCGATCGTACTATGATGACAAGATGCGAATTCAAATAAACATAAAATTTTCTTCAGAACTGTCCTAATACAGCGCGTAAGCCGTCGCTCGATAACAGGTACAATATTTTTTTACGCACGATGAAATCTTATCGTGTCATCTTACGATCGTTGCCAATTAGGACGACGACTAAGGCGCTTTGCAGACGACGGGGCGGGGCGGGTCGGTCAATTTCGCCGCGAACGATAGCACAAAGGGAATCCTATATTACAAACGCACACAGAGGGCAAAAAGACCGTGCCTTGGGCACAGCGGTGACATGCTGTACGTGAGAGTTCCAGCGTCAGTGACCTTGAGCAGGAGCATGTACGCGATAGGGTTGAACTTGGAATTTAGACTTGTGCCAATGAATATTTATGCATAGTAAATTATTAAATGTAAACTGATTCAAGAATAACTAACAAATTGCTAACTTTTATATTTTTTCCCCTTTTTTGATTCGTTTTATAATTCTTATTATTATCTAAATAATAATAAGATTGCGTAGCGTAGTCAGTCTGTGCGTGCAATGCAGTGCAACGCTATTATTTTACTATTTCACTACTGCCATGCCTTCGGTCGAGGCAGTCGGCGACTGCCCTCTCCACGTCCCGCGCGCCGCGCAACGCCCCCGCGCACCTCCATCAACCCACACATAGCCGCGGGCGATTTTACCAGCACACATGCTTAAGTGTCGCTTCTTTTTGCATAGTGTGTATATTCTGTGCCTTGGGTGCCCGGCGGGCACTGGCGGCGCGGCATGTCCGCGGCTGCCCGCCGTGGATCATACAAACCAGTTTATATGCAGTAATGCAGACGGCGGCGCGGGGCGGTCAGCTCAGTCCGCGCCACGCGCTTTTTAGTGATGGACTATTCACTAGAACGAACGTCTTGAACTGACCGCCTCTGCCCGTCGTGTGCTTTGTGTACGCGGCGCGGGCAGCCGCAGACATCGACGGGCAGACGCGGTTTTTATTGCTTCGCAGAGAAAATGCCCGCCCCGCCCCGTCGTCTGCAAAACGCCTAACTGTTTCCATAATACCTAATATAACGAGGACAAGGCCTCAATTTTCTTGTGATCACAAATAATTACTGCGTTTTTAAAAGTACATTTTTCTTAACCATATCGGCGAAGAAGACGGATCCTGCTGCTGGTTTTGAGGACTCCATACCCTCTTTCAGATCCTGAAGTCTTTGCGACAGATTATGCTACCCTTTACGGGCTTGTAGCCCACTTTTAAACAAACGAACAGACGAACTTTTGAATTTTTTGACTTTTTGAATTGTTAGCGTTGTAATAAGTATTGGTTCTTACTTAGATTTAAAAATCAAGCAGTTACATTCTTTAAAAAATAAAAATTATAATCTTACAAGGTAGAATAAGGATTTTACTTTATTATTATAGCTATTCATGAACATAAAAAATATTAATATTCATAATGTGTACACAATATTATGCAAACCGATTGTAACCACAACTTTTAATCTGGTTTTTAGTAACCTATGCCATTCGATGCCATATTTAACGATGCACAAAGATCGTGTATCAAACAATTTACAGGTTTAGTTAATGGCCGGATGAGATCATTTGCACGAGTCGGTGAAATCACTAGTTGCGATGAACGAACTAGTTCACAAATCGGTGACTGTACTTGTGAGATCGACTAAGAAATAGCTTCATTTGACAATTAAACTAGCGCAGTAGATGATTTTGAATGTAAAATTGGCACTACGCAGACTCCCTTGTCTATGGTTATTGCTGAAGGAGTTTACCCGGGGTGTATAAATGTTAATCTGAACTAACGCACGTCGATGGCGGCGCTCGGCGGAGGACCGCTCTCATTGCCAAGTATGGTTCGAGCCATGCTTGGCAATGAAAGGGCATGGAAGGCTGCCGCCTCCTTCTGCGAAGTTGTGATGGGGCAGAAGGAGGCAGCGGAGAGGGAGCGGGAGGAGGATGCTCTAGCCGCTCCCCTCCGACGTAGACGGGTGGGCCGAAGAAGGCTGGCAGCTGTGACTGCCGGTCTTCGTCGGCACTAAGGTCGTCTGGGCGCGGCTTGGCCGCCGCGAACCCTTGGTGCCATTCGGCATAGGCCACCCCGTCTGGGGATTGCCTAGTACCCTAGCGCAATCCCCCAGAGGCGTGTCGCCCGGTCCACTCATTGGGCCGGGCCAGCCCGGGGGCGTCCCAGTGAAGTGGCGCACACTAAGGTGCGCCGATCCTGAGACGCCCCCATATGGGCGTAGGAGGGTACCGGTGGTTTTTAGTGGGTAGGACCGGCGTTGTTCCGCGCCGGGGAGTCCCATACACGCCGCGCGCCCAGCCAGCGCGGTACGGTGCATAAATGCATTATCCATCATCAACAAAAAAAAAAGCCGGGTGCTGCCGGTACCCGCTCCCTTCGCTATCTGGGCAAATGCACTGAACATTATGCCACCACTGCTCTGATGCCCATATTGAATTCTTCCTAGCCTTTCTTAAGCTGCAAGGCAGCGCCATTTCTTCAGGTCTGCGAGGATTTTTTTCTACTAATATTTTCTTTACATTTAAATAGCAATTATCGGTATCTTACGCCTCGTTAACATTAAGGTATAATACATGTATTTAAAATATATATAAAATGTCTTTACACTTATACACATGTATAAAACATGAAGTATACAATAATTGCATCAAACTTGTTGAATAAACAAAATATGTAAAGTAAATAAGTGATTTATACTGGTAAGATACTAGTTGTTGTTTTTTTAACTCTCCCATTTTGAGGAGGGCAAAGGGAACAATGCCCATACAGCCTAGTCTTAAGTTATATTAATATTCTTTTTTTACATTATAATGTCGGTGTGAAGCATTTTAATGTTTCTTGTAGTGTTTGGCAAGAAATGTTTCGAGTTGGCTTTTTCGATATAAGCTTCTGTGAGGTAGTCAACACTACAATAAATTCCTCACGTATATTAACCGGAGTACCGTATAATAATATGTATCTTACAGATTACGCCAATTCTTCTGTTGCGTAGACGGTAGTACCACATAATCACACCAATTTTATATCACAATATTCACTATGAACGAATTAAAATAAGACGCCAACAGAACTCGATGAAATCCCGCCAAAAACTCGATACGAGTTTTCTATGCAGTGTAATCTAAAGAATGTTTTAAACAGCCACAACAAGTATTCTACAAGTTTTGTTTAAAAGTAGTACATGACTTGTTTCTTAGTGTAGTCGAGGAGTTAGGGCCACTTCTACACATATATGACATGTATCAACATTCTTAATTCAAATTTAGAGTACGTTCAGATGATAAGCGTTTAAGACGCGTTGTGTTCCATCTAATTACTCAAAGTACAGAAAAAATGAGACAGTAAACTATTTAATTTAAATTATAATAAATTATGCCTTAGTGTTAATAAATGGACAAATTACAAAGAAACCTTTCTACAAAGTGCAGAAATGGCAAATTCTTTAATTTGCTCCTCCCATTATAGGGGTAATATAAATGGAGTTATATTCAACAATGCATTTTGAGGGCCCCTTGAATCCACGGGGCTCTGGGCTGAAGCCCAAAAAGCCATATAGTAGATCCGGCCCTGGGGGCCAATCACCTAACGGAAATGCTTTGGAAAACGCTAACGCTTACGATTTTATTTTGTTATTTCTAGCCGCCTGAGGTATTCAAATGCCTCGCGCTCTTTCTTTTTCTTTTGCATTGGTAATAACAATATTAAAAAAAATGACCGTGAGGTATTCGAAAACCTCAGGCGGCTAGAAATAACAATATAAAATCGTAAGCGTTAGCGTTTCCCAAAGCATTTCCGTTAGGCGATTGGCCCCCTGGTTGTGTTAACGCGCTTGACATTTTGTTCGAGTCGTTTGGATGCTAACGCGCGTTTTTATTGGACGCGCGCAATGTGCATTAGCAAAACGCACGTTAATAGCTTATCATCTGAAAGTACTCTTAAGTTTAATCCTTGGAAACAGCGAACAGCCGCGCTATCGACTACCGTACCCTAAGCAAGAAAAATTATCGATTTAGAATTAGTTTGCGAGTCCGAAATGTCATTGACAAATTTTGTATGAAAACGTGAACAGCAGCGTCACAGAGTACGCAATGAGAACTAAAAATCCGTACACATTTGACAATGACATTTCGGACTCGCAAACTATTCGAATTCGATATCGGTTCGTGCTTAAGGTACCGAAGCGGATTACATGTCAATTTCGGATTCTTGTAAAGAGGCACTATTTATTAAAACTTTTTAAGAAAAATGTATTAAAAAAAATGTTGATTACATTTTTGGAATGCTAGATGTTTGATCTAAAGAAAATTTTACTAGAAAAAAATACACGCGGGCCAGGCAGCAATCGGGACTCGAACCCGCACCCTTCGCTATCCGGGCGAATACACTGACCATTATGCTACCGCGGCCCTGATAACCATGTCGAATTTTCTCTTACATTTCTTAGGCACCAAGGCAGCGCCATCTCTTCGCATTGAAATAAATACTTTTACAAGTATTAAACATTTGAAAGAAGAATTTTATTAGCATTTATAGTTGCCGCGGTCCTACCCCTTAATATGAACAATGTTGATATTAAGATTTTCAATGACAACCAGTCTGCTCTTAATGGAACCCTACATTGCAACTGACACGCACTTGGCTTGTTTTTTACCTGAGTGACACAATGAAGAACAGCTGTCAGCGAGAAGAACACAAAGCACAGGGCACAGTACAATAAAACTTATCTCCTATTAAAACGCACATGTTTTTATGTACTCGCATACATAAATATTAGGTACATATGCCCACTTGCAGCAAATTTGATAAATCTCGATTCAACTAAAACTACACGTAGATATTATGCCATAAGAAAAATGTCAAAGCATCAATTTGACTGTTAGCAATCTAGAGACCCGTGACATACGGACAGATATGCAGACGACAGTGTGATAGCAATAGGATTCAGTTTTCACCCTTTGGGTATAAAAACCTAAAAAAAAATTGACGATTTGAGAACCTCTCCTTTTTGCAGTAGGTTAAAAATATATTATTTCGATATATCCAAGTTACTTGCACTTAGAATATAAAAGTAATATCTTAGGTTTGTATTTTAAAATTTTAACTAACTTCTTTTAAATAAACCTAAGCTATTAATTGGTGTCACCGACTCCAGAGGTCCCGGGTTCGAATCCCGGTGGGGGCAGATGTTTGTGTGATGAATACGAGCATTTGTACTCCAGTCATGGATGTTTAATATGTATTTCTATATAAATATAGTTATATATGTACAGTATATGTATTCTATCCGTTACCCTAGCATCCCATAACACAAGCCTTACAGTGCTTACTTTGGGGCTAGGCTAATTGGTGTGAGTGTTGGAAATATTTATTATTTATTTATTTATTATTTATTCTTACCTTTATTTCTTACGGTACCGAATATCGCCATAAGCAACAATAATCCAAAATGATTTCTAAACAAAAACATCACTACACAACCGAATCACTAATATGAAACAATTATTTTACTATCATTTAAAAAATTACGACTGCAATACAAACACATTTAGTAAACACTTTAGCGAAAGAATTTAACAAGCTTTCTCATTTTCTTTTTTAAATTAGAAAAAAGTTTTATTAATTTACATTCACGTAAAAAGACACGTGTTTACGAACGCACGAAAAGACCGCGCCACGTGCGGCCCCTATAAGCTTTTGTGGCATACTGATTCCAAAAACCATGCCATCCCATCCCATACGGTTATTGTGTGCACAAAAAAACTTTCCTGCTCAAGTTACTAATCTAACACAAATACATTTCACTCCATTATCAATCTTTCATATTGATCAATCAATCAATTAAATAAGCATGTACTGATAAAGAAAACTGGAAAATAAAAAGAAAGGAAATAGCTATTTTCATAAACGCTCTATTAAAGCGTGAACTGATGAAAGTAACAGAAAATACCGCTTTGAGTTTCAATTTAGCGACACCAAAAACTACTCATATATCTACAGACCTAGGTACAGATTCTGTTAGAAAAAAAAAATATATTAGAACATTACTAGATTTGATAATTTTATAGGACCCGTGGCGCCATCTCGCAGGCACAACACATTGTAAACCAAACGCTACACAGTTCCGTAGCACCAGAGTATGCTTTCAAAAGCGTTCTACGGAAAAGCACAGCAAGCTTGGTGGTGCCAATGCAGTATTAAAATGTTTTGGTAGATGTCGCTTTGCGTAAAGTAGCGACCTCTGATTTTTGTTTTCGTAAATTCTGAAAGCTTGGGGGTTGAGATTTCGATGGTGCTATTTGCATGTTTCACCCCCAAAGTTTAATTTTGTGACAGTGCTGTATTCCAAAGCTTTTGTGTAAGATGGCAGTGTGAGTTTTGCGATTGACACTTTATGTTCTGTTTTTGTTTAAATAAAGTACTTTGGTTTGAAGCTAAAAAGATTGATGAAAACAATTATCTTTTATTTTATCTATCAATATTATTCTTTTTTTTTCATAAAGAAAACTCCTTTTAGAAAGTTTTAGTAGATTAAAAATATGGCATGAAGATAAATTACGATAAATTATTTATTTAAAAAGAAATTTAATATCTATTGTTTGATTCGAACATCAAAATAAAGTTAGCTTTATGTAGGTATGTCATCATTATGTAGGTGTTGTTATGTTAAGTTTTTAGATATTTTCCGCTTAAGTCAGTATGAGTGATATTTAATCTGTTCTTTGCCCTCTCTTAAGCGCAAATCAAGCGGCAAATTATTCTTATTCCTGACTACATTTACAAACTCGCCGTCTTCGTTTGAAATTCCGAATGATTGATTCCAAATTCGAACTCGACGAGCAGTGTTGCCAACATTGAATATTGATTGCACAAAAGGCGTTCGGCGCCAAAGCGTATTCTCAATTCAAAATTATTCCAACAGGACCGAATCCTTTTGATGCTACGAAATATGTAAGTAGCCGAATTTATCAGTCACATTTTTCTGGTGTGAACAACATTTGCTCTCCTTCACCAACTTCACCATCCGTCCCTCTCTGATGTGAGGTACGGAAATTTATATTTGGCGGGTTGGCTCGCCTTTCCGTTGGAGATTTTCAAGTATAATGAGCCTATAAAGGTGGAGCAATCAATGGAAATATCAAAGGCAAATATTTTCTCATCGACGGTGCTCTGTAAAAGAATTTAGAACATTTCGTTTGTGAATTGCACGCAGATCACAAGAAATATTTTTACACGACTACCCAAAAAGTTTTTTGTTTTTTATTTAGAAAGTAGAAAGCAAATCATCACCCGAAACTCTTCCAGTAAAGAGACAACTAAATTAATAAATTAATTTCGCATAGTTTAACCCAAACAAAACACCTGATATACTATCGAATTCGACCCCAATCGTGGACAATGTATATAAAGTTAAATCCGCATTGAGACTGAGAGGAAAAATACTGCACACGATTGTTAGAGACACTTCAAACTGGAACGGGCTAAAAAGACTTCGGCTGGGGCTTTTAAAACGTACGACCAGAAAATAGAAAAGGAAAAGATTGTATTTAGTGCATCCGATTCTTAGGCCGTTAATAAGTAGTCTGTGCGGAAAGAGAATGGGCGTGGCGAAAAACGGAACTAACATAAAGATTTTTATTTGGCAAACAAACCCAGCAATTTGTAAATCGTCAAAATTTTGTATTGATACGGATTTGTTTTTAATCATGTCAAAAAGGGGTGAAGCCTTACAAATACGGTAGAAAAGCTCTACAGCGCCCTTCAACCTAAATCCCATTCTCTTTCCGCACAGACTCTATTTTTACTGAGACTCGTATAATAAGTAAGTACTTATGTCAATTATTCAAGGTGACAAACAAATTAATTCAATGAACATAAGCTTAGCCTTACAATCAGTTACGCAAGTTAAGAGGGGAGGCAGGCAATGTTTTTCCATACAAACGACTGATTCCTTCTTGATTTTTATCACTAAAGAATTGATTTTCTTATATAGAATATAATTTTACTCATTCTATGCTCCTGTGTTTTCCTTTTTTCGATAACTTGTGTTTCAAAAAAACTAGAAGCCCTTGAAAAAGGCCAAAAATAAAAATAAAAATATCACCAATAAAGACGTCTAGTGTAGAAATTTAATAAGCATTTACAAAAAGAAATCATTAAGGAAAAGTATAACTCCTTCTTATTCTTTGTGTTAAATTTCTTTTAGTATCTAATTTTCGAGGAGGAAATCGTCGAGAGCCAAACCTCGAATTTTGCAATTTTTATACGCATTTTTCAGCGTTAACTACTGTTGTCCCTATCACACGGTATTTGCCAATGCGTGACAGCAATAGTTGTTCCCAATACCTTTTTCTCAAATGTCTCTCAGCTCGCTAAGTTAACTTGTTAAGCGCTCGTGTCAGTGGAAGCAACAATATCACCGCGCGCGAATTTTGCCATAGCAATTTTTTACCAAAAATAACAGACACCATCACCTCATTATTTTGTATCTAGATAGACTAAATAGGCTTTGTTGTTCATTATATAACAAGAATTATCTTTGTGATCAAAGATCTATGGATTGTATTTTTATTAGTACTTCTCCATAGAAGTATTGACGCGATTTAGACCACAGAATACATACAAAAGAAATTTTGTGATGTTTAATTATGGTTATCGATATGACAATCTACATACATGGAGGTTCTTGTACTTTATAAAGCCATCTGACAACTATATGCATGAATTATTTTGTGCTTATTTGTATCTAATTCCGACAGACCTCTGTGCAGATTAGGCCTGCATAGAGGAAGAGGGGACAAACGCCCACAATTTCTACTGGAATGCAGAGGAGATTACTAGATCATTGGTTCGCTACTTGTGCTGCCGCGATGTTGGCTTCTCTGCTTTACACGCGCAATTGATCGCAAAGACACTTGCGTATTGCCTTCCCTATGCGATGGACGATGTAACTGTAGTAACGTGCATGCTATGCATTTTAGTATAGCCAATTATATTAACCATCTGCGACCAACAGCATACACGCTCAAAAGAAAGTCATACAAAGAAAAAAATCATAGATCTCGTGCTCTACACGACATGAATCTAACTATTATAGATTTTAAAAAAAATCAAAACCAACTTTTCCAAAATATTTTTACATCATTTCAAAGCCCTTCGAATTTCGCGTCTTTTGAGCTTTGTGTTCATAGGTCCTCGTTACAGTTACACCTCGCGCCGCGCAAAACTCGCGGCTAAATCCCTTCAAATTCCGCGTCTTTTAAGCCCTCATACGTCCTCGTGGCCCTAAACCTCGGGGTATCAAGGGCGAGTCGCACTTTCAGCGAAAATGGGGGCCTACTGGAGCCAACCAAAAAACATTTTCAATGTTAAAACCGACAAAATAGGAAACGTGCGGCATAACGAACTATGTTGCCACACTACGTGCCTGCCTCCTTTCCTTGCTACTTCCCACACCACTTGTCGAGTATGTGGCAGGGGTATAATGACTAAGAATTTGGTAAGTTATCGAAGACTGTTAGCCTGCAGTAACATTTGTGGACTGCTGGAGGTGCTAGGGCGCCTGGTAACAGGACTGCTACCACTCCGAACGCAAAATAAACACGAGTTGCAGAAACAGTCCGTAGGGTCAAACATTGTTTGTATTTCGGACCGATCGTTGGGATAAGAGTGCGAAGACCCGGTCTACACACGACACGCTATACCAGATACAGGTACGTACCTGGGCGTTTTTCCCCGCCCCCCACGACAACGGCTAACTAGAGCCGAGGTCCTAGTCTCAGAGACGCCCTCTAGTTGAGCCGACGCTCTCAGGTTCGAGTGGTCTAGAGGCTCCAGACGGAGAGGAGACTCCCTCCGTGGGGAGATGCCATTCGCCTGGAATATCTCTAAATTCTCGACTTGAGGTGCCCTTAGGATCTCGCCGTCCCTAAACCCGGTGACGCTGTAAAGGTCATCTGCAGCACAACGGACAGCAATATACGGAACAACAGCATACACACTCAAAAAAAAAAGGACCGATCGTGTCGTCTCGTCTAAAGATGGTCCCTTTAGTAAAACTCTCACGCGCCGCAAACGAAGCGCCGCAGTGTTACGCGAATTGTCCGAATCTTGGGGTCTAACTCGATCACTCGACGGCCGATAAACCTCTTAGACGCCCGCTGTTTATATTCTGCGGTGATTATCGACGGATTGCGGGTCTCCACAGCCTAATCTGTTGAGACTTGAGAGCTTACCACTAATACCATACTTCAGCAGGAAAACACTTGGAAAGGTTCATCAGAGCTGGTAATACCGTCGGCATATATTGGAAGTAACTTCAATGGGATTGGTAAGGTAGTTAGGGAGTTAATAGTATTTATGACGGTTGATATCCTTATTAAGGGTTATTAGCTATCAATCCCGCTGATTGTTTGATGGTCTTTGTTGTTATTTATAGCGGAAAGTAAGGCTTTATTTTCTTTATCTTTAACTAGCGGCCCGCCCTCTTTTTGCTTCGGTGTAGAGCTGAAGTGTAGACTACAGTTTTTGTTCTCAGACTTGTATTATACACAATGACATTCATCTATGATTCTTCTTATACCTGCATGCAAAGTCTCAGCCCGATCGGTTTAAAATTGACAGAGTTTCATACAAACTTTCATGAGGATAAAATAGGGAATTTTATCCCCTTGGGGGTAGAATTGATCAAAATCCTTTCT